TATATATATATATATATATATACATATTGAATACGTTGTACAAACAGAACGATCAACTAAAAAAAGGATATACAGTTAATATACTTCAGTACATACATACATACGCGCATACATACATATGTACATACATAGGTGCGCAAAATTTTATGAGAAAAGGTAATGCATCCGCAGACTGGTACAAATATGCATAGCAAACCATTCAAAATTGTTTATAAAAACAACAGCAACAAGTTCATACGTACATACATACCCACATACATATGTATGTACATATGTACACTTTTGGTCAGCTGATTAAGTCAAGCGATATTTCGACTAGGTTTGGTTATTTTTCTTTTGTTTATTTATAAAAGTTTAGCACTTCACCTAACCAGCACCACATAAATCCACATTTCAAACTTCGTACAGAAATGATGAAAATTCAACAAACTTTAACAATTGCACCCAAAAATTGTAAACTTTTTATTTAGAACTTTTAGAAGGCATTTCTCCCATACAAACGAAATTGTCGAGCATACTTTGGATGGATGAATATGCACAACACCGTCAGCCAAAAAAAAAAAAATACTCAAAAAAAAACGCGATTTTCTAGCGCTTGAAATTTTCACTTTGACCTACTAAAATTTAATGTTCTACAAAACTGCATGCCCCAATTTTTTCTTAAAATTCTTAAGATATTTGGAGCAATTGTTAAAGTTTATTAAATTATAAAAATTTTTGTACAAAAGTTTGAAATGTGGATTTGGCGCTCGTTAAGTAAAGTGCTAGACTTGTATAAAAAAAATATAAACATTAAATAAACAAAAGAAAAATAACCAAAACTAGTCACTACACTTAATCAGCTGACCACTAGTGTATGTATGCACATGCAAAATATTAAATGCAAACAAGACAACCCTCCCATCGATGCGTACGAATTGGATAAAGTATACATATGTATGAATGAGCGCCAAATGCAGAATTCATGTGCTGAACGAGATCCCGAAAAACCAAGAGTACGCGAGTACATGACATCCACTTCACCTAACATGAACAGAGAAAATTGTGCCAATTACACAATACTGCAGCTACCAGTTTGCCAAATAGTTTGTGTGAAGTACAAGTACTCTGCATCCAAAAATTCTACATGAACATGCTTTTATAATCCCGTCAAAACGCCAGATCGTTCATGTGTTTAAATGGGGCGGGAAGATCTATCTGGATTTNTGTCACTAGACTTAATCAGCTGACCACTAGTGTATGTATGCACATGCAAAATATTAAATGCAAACATGATAACCCTCCCATCGATGCGTACGAATTGGATAAAGTATACATGTGTATGTACATATGTATGAATGAGCGCCAAATGCAGAATTCATGTGCTGAAAGAGATTCCGAAAAACCAAGAGTACGCGAGTACATGACATCCACTTCACCTAACATGAACAGAGAAAATTGTGCCAATTACACAATACTGCAGCTACCAGTTTGCCAAATAGTTTGTGTGAAGTACAAGTACTCTGCATCCAAAAATTCTACATGAACATGCTTTTATAATCCCGTCAAAACGCCAGATCGTTCATGTGTTTAAATGGGGCGGGAAGATCTATCTGGATTTTTTGAGTATCCGGATTATCAATCGTGATAATTCAAATTTTTGAAATCGGATGAAAACTTTGGAAGTTTGCAACAATCAAATTCTAGAAATTATTTCATCTAACTTTATTAGCTTAAGAAAACAAAATTTGTGAAAAGGGAATTTCTAATACCTGTTCGTCCTTGTGAGCCAAACCAACATTATTTTTTGTAAATTTTAGAGAATTTTCTCTTTCATTTGGTACCCATAATTGTATCCTACATTGCACTAAATTTTTAAATTTCAAATTCATTAAAAAAAATTTTGATGCCAGAGACAAAAGCTAAAAACGCAGTTTTACTATGTTTGGTCCATAGTCCGTGGGTGCTAACATTTACTGTTCCGTGAATCTTTAGGATTTTTATAGCATGGTCTGATAGATTGTTATTCATCATTTTAAAGGTCTATTAATACTATTCCCAAGCCAGGGCTGATTTCAAAAAATCCGATGACAAATGGTCAAGCTGTTAGTAAGTAAGAGCATCAATTTCGAAAATAACTGTTTTCTTTTTTTAATAAAAAGGAGGTTACTCAATGTCTGGTTAATGCTAAGTAAAAGCTAAATATTGTTACATAATCGACTCCCAGTTATATATAGGACGAACAACTAAACAAATAGTACTGAGTTAGAAATTTTGCGTGCATAAGGAATAAATCAGCATAATCCTTTTATCTGATAAAGTTTGTTTTTGCTTGGTAAGCAAAACATAGCTTTTAGAGCATAAAATTAATTTATCTTTTCCAAGGGAAACATAAAACTTAATAAATAACTTTCAGCATGATAAAAACAAAGCGAGGTAGAACCGTTTTCTCAATTCGTCGGCCATGATTTTATTATTATTATTATTTTTTTTTTTTTTTTGAAGTTTGCCAGCATTTTAAAATCATATACGTAGAACTGAAAATTAAAAATGAAGGTTTTCTAATAGGTTCTTGTTTGAGATTGAAAATGTAAAAGAATATTTGTGAATTTGTGAGAAATTTAAAAATTATAATTCTGAAAAACATCAAAAACGCTCTCAACGGTTCTGCTTTACTATATTCTTATGATGACTTTTACTTTCAAAGTAATAACTGAAACTCTAAAAGAACTTAAATTTTCTGAACCCACATTAAACTTGAAAAATTTTCGAGTTATTAGTAAAATTGAAAAAAAAAAAACTTAAAAGGCTATTTCTTTAATCACACAAATACAATTTAGTGTGTACCTGTATACCTAAAGAAAAAAATACAGACCCACACATACACATAGGTACACATATTTGTATCTACTCTACTCATAAATACTAAGTGATTAAGAGAGAACAAAATCGAGTGGGGATGCATTATTGAGAGAAATGACACACTCTTCTTTTGGCATTTTACACGTATTTTATGTCGTTTTCTAACACTGTACATACTAAAGTAGTCTCCAGCGCTAGGAAGTTCAATTGCCAGAAGAATATGTGAGTATAAGTGAGCAGATAAAAGACTTCTGTTGCAATGCGAGCGGAAAAAGGTAGAAACAGAAGATAAATTAAGTAATAAGTATGGTGAGAATATTTGTATGCGCCCCCTCCAACCGCGCAGTGTGCAAAGGCTGAAGATAGTAGATTTTTGATTGTTTGAATTTCAAATGTCTTTTTTCTCTCAGAATTAAAAAAAAGTCGCATATGTACACACATTTTTAGAGTAGTTTCCATTCATTTTAATAGTGGCAGACTGTTGTGGCCCACTGCAACACTACAACACTCTACATTCAGCCTTTCGTTGTACCCTTTATTTCTCTTAACCTGTATGTTTGCGCTTTTGTTTTTTATCCAATTGAAATGCCTCAGTTAGATCCGCAACCGGATAAGCTACCACACACCATAGCTCATGCATGAAAAGTCGGCAGTCGACTGAGGTTTCCCAATTTTTGTGTTAGTTTGGTGTGCGAGATTAGACCAACATTGGTGCTCTCTCTCATTGTCTATACACTTTGCAGTGGTGTTGTTCATCGTATATTGGGAGGTCTCGCTGCTTTCGTGGTATTCCGACTGCGACGTCAACGCCGACTCAAGTGAACGCGTCTGGCAAAATTACGGTGACGGGTTCAGGTTCTCTCCATCAGACGTATACACTTCAGTTAGATTTTTGCTTTGGGTTGCGCCTGGCCAAGTGACATACACACGCGAAAAAAAAATTACCAGCTAGCTTACGCTGTACGGTGTTAAATTTTTTTTTTAGTGAACTCAACATTCTTATTAATAATCATAATCCAAGGTGGATATAGATAGATAAATAAGTAGAAAAGTGAAAAATAGCAGCGATATCCAAAACGAAGTAACCTCGATATGTGTATAAAAAATATATTTATCAAATTCGTTTTTTTTAACAAAAAAACGCCTTTCTTGTAGAATTTAAGTTTTCTTTGGAATTAAAGTCTCTATCGCCGATTTCGTTTCGTTATTTCGGCTTTCGGTTTTAGCTTCTTCGGTTTTTTCGCGTGCGAATATAAACTGTAAAAGTGCAAAAAAACTTCAGTTATGAAATATTCAGTCGAGCGTTTATAGTAAATATCTTGGCTCCCAAACCACCAGCGTATATAGAGCAAATAACAGCGCAGCTGTCAGACTTGAAAGTGGAAAGTGGCAGCCGCTGTTGGAGAGGAGGACTACGTACAACCTACATACATAAGTACATACTAACCAACGTGTGTTGAAGGCGCGTGTGTGCGGAAGGCGTGTACAAAGTAAGGCAAACTGAATACTTAGTGATTAATTTTTTTTCTAAGAACTAGGAGGCATATACAATAGGAACAATGGCAATAAAATGACAGAAAATATCAGTCGATTCTTTGATGTTGTGGTGTCATAGGGCACCGAAAAGTGTGATAAAATATTTGCATAAATACAACAAATATACTCACTAATTAAAAATTAACTAAAAAGTATGTAACAAATAATTGTGACATGCATAAGTACATTCAAAATCCGCAGCTATGGATATGCATGTATGCAACTTATTAGGAAAATTATTAAAACAAAAAATAAAAAAAAATTAAATTTGTATTACAATACAAGTTCGGCCAAACACTAACATATTGTGTAAGCATCAATCCATTATTATTATTATTATAAATGAATAAAGTAAAATAAAATAAAATAAAAGTCAAAGCAAAAATAAAATCCATAAATTTATTTAAAATTAAATTAAATTAAGTAATGAAAAAATAAAATCTGACTAAATTAAACTAATTTGAAAAAATTAAAATTAAATAAATTTTTTTGTGTATAAAATTTAAATATTTTTTAAAATAAAATTAAGTAAAAAACCAAATGAACCAAATAAATGAAAATGGAATGAATGGAATGGAATAAATTAAAATTTCGTCAAATGAGATAAATAAAAACTAACATGCGAAAAAATTTAAATAAAATAGAACAAAGTGAAATGTATTATAAAAGTTACTACAATTAAATTAAATTATGCTAGACAAATTTAGGCAGCATTAAAATAAATTTCTATGAAATAAATAAAGTAATATAAAATAAAATTAAATAAAAACAAAGAAAAAAAGGCAAAAACGTTAATGAAAATAAAATCATACTAAATAAAAAATTTAAAAATTAAATGAATTAAAATAAAATAAAGAAGTATATTTTAATGTAATTAATTAAAATAAAAAATTTAAAAATTAAATGAATTAAAATAAAATAAAGAAAAATATTTTAATGTTATTAATTAAAATTAAATTACATAAAAACTGGATACAAGAATAAGAATAAAATCAATCAAAATGTATTAATTTAAATAAATAAAATTTACCATTGATATAAAAAACAAAACATAAAAACAAAAATACATACATTATAAAAAATTAATTATAATGAAATGAATTAAAATGAAATTAAATTAGATTCTAAAATCGGCCGTAGACTCCTTCTGTGAGTGTGATTTTAAATTATTTTCAAAAACATGTTTTTTTAAATTTGAAACTAAATTTGTTTGAATGATTGTAAGAAATGTACGTTTACATACCTTTGGCTACAGCTGAGTCTGCAGAGGTGCTTGCTCTTATTGGTTAGAATCCAGGAGATCCCAAGATGTTAAAACGTTAACACAAATTTTTGTTTTGTATTACCAAGCTGTGAAAAAGCATCTGTGAAGTGCAGAATGGGAGCGTATTCGAACGAAAAAGCCGCTAAACACATATCTATGTACAGTACAGAAGCCCGCTGCATCCCTTTTTCGATAGTTCCGAACTAGTTCTAAATTCGACAGATACGACGTAGTTCGTTTCGCATACCTTTTTCTCTAGTTTCGAACCAGTTCTAAATTCGTCACCTTAGATATAGATTTCTAGTGGAAAAAGTGAAATAAAATAGTTTTTTAAAAGTACCACATTTCGCTGATTTTGGACTGGTGGGGATCTAGTTATTATTGGACTGATTCGCTTTTGGCGATTAAGATCTAGTACGGAACTAGATATTTGGATTCACTAGTGCGCGGTTTCCCTGCAGGGTATGTATGCACTTAGATTAGATTAGATTAGATTTAGAGGAGGGAGCAGGTCACCTAGTTACCGCGACCGAAACGATCTATTATAACAAGCCTCTATTAAACTAACGGTCATCTTTGATCCACATACTGTTAACAAGCCTCGCGAAGTCCTTTGCCATTTAGGTCGTGTGCTTCTAAGTACGGTGATCCTAGGAAGTGAAGTCTGGTCCTGGTAGGAGCTTCACAGTGGCATAATGTGCTCTGCTCTTCCTGTTCTTCGTTACACAACCAAAACTGGTCAGAGTTGACAACTCCTATGTTTGACAAGTGTTTTGTTACCCTACAGTGGCCAGTAAGAAAGCCTGTAACAATTCTTACTTCATGCCTACTGAGGTGAAGGAGGTTCTCCTTGCTGATATATCCGGAATGATGGACTTGGCCTGCCTGTTACCTTCCGTCTTTGTCCAGTAATGTTGTGCTTCATTCTTCATACAGATACAGTAGTTCCGCCTAACGGAGCTCCATGGCAGACCAGTAAAAGGTCCTGGGCCTATGAATCCCTGTGCTGCCCCTTTTCTGGCGAGAAT